GATAGAACTCTGCAGCAAGGCGGCCTCCACGGACACAGCGCTCGTGTGAGCTTGCAAGTCAGTCAGACCACAGGCTGGCAGGAGCGCTGGGCGTGGGACTCTCGTGCAACGGGGGTGTAGAATCTCCTCGCACGAAGGAGGGGGGGACAGCTCGGTGGGACTGAGGGCAAGGGGGCCAGAGCAGGTGGGGGCAGGGGCCCTGGCTTCACCCCTTGTGAAAGTGCACAGGCTGCCCTCCCACTTTTCACAGGCTGGGAGGGGGAGTGAAGGGTGGGGGGAGAGGGGGCAGTGGGGCGGCAGGGTCTTGGGGGGAAGAGGCAGCACAGGAGCAGGGCTTTGGGGAATGGGAGGGGATGGGGGTTCGGGGGGAAGCAGATGGTTTGGGGAAGGGGCCTTGGAGGATGGGGGGCAGGTAGCCCCCCACTTTTAGGGGGCTTGTGTGACCCACACACCTCCTGGGTGTGGTGGTCTGTCCCTGTTGAGGCCACTTGCAGAGAGAACAATGAGTCTGCTCTACAGCCTTAGCTGTTGGCCCAGCTGTAGAAGCTCAGGCTCTAGACTCCAGAGGGCCCCGGTTCGATTCTGCCCCCCGATGGCCAGGGTCTGTCAGCGTTACGCTTGCCCCGTTCCCGATGGGGGGATGGTAGCTCCGGAGCCTGCTACCGCCTGCAGGGAAGGAATGCCCATGAGTATAAGGAACGTCCCACAGGATGGGGATGAGGCAGGGCAGGGCAGGCCGAGGGAGAAATGGCTGCCCGTGGGCCTCAGGACGACAAGCTGGTGTCAGTCCTGCATTGCCAGGGTGAAGGCCAGGGGCATGTTCTGCGTTTGGACTCCTGTTTGCCCTGAATAGGGGGGCTCGTGGCTACAAGAACACAATGGAGCTAAGGTGGGTGGTATCCCCTGGCTGCCAAGTCAGAATCTCTTGTATCGAGGCTATTTTGTCTCTGGTGGTGTCTTCTGCACTGGCGTGTTTCTCAGAAATGCCTCGCTGTTACGGCCGCAAGAGCACAGAGCAGGCCGGCGACATGTTCGTGCCAGACCTCGGCCCCCCCCCCCCCCCCCCCCCCACAGCGCGC